GTTCCATATGAACTGAAGCCGAGAAACGTTGAACGCCGATTTTTCACATGTGAAATGCTGCTTGCCAGGCATAAACGAAAGGGTTTTTTGCACCGTGTAGTCACTGGTGATGAAAAATGAATCCACTACGATAACCCAAAGAAGAAGAAAGCATGGGGACCACCTGGCCATTTGTTTAATAAAAATAAAATGCTTAAAATACAAATACATATAAAATTTAATTCATATATATACAATAACTTATTTAAAATATAAATATTACCCAGTAAACGAGAATGGATTAAAATGAATTGAAATTTTTTTCTATCTGAATGCAAATTTTAAATAGCAAATACTTTTTTTTGAATTTAATTAGATTCAATTGGATGCATTTGGATTGGAAACTGCATTTTCTATTCCAAATTTTGAATTGAACAGTATTCACAATGCACAGAAAAAGCTAATATTATTTTTAGATTGAAAGGCATAGAGATATGCTTTATGCAATTTCTATAAATGAATAAAAATGCATTCAGGATTAAAAAGCATTTATTTCAACATTCGTGAATCAATATTTCTGAAAATTTGAATCCATTTCAATTCATTTCAATTCATTCGTTTGCTAGGTAACACATTTGTAAAAATATAATATAACCATAATGTTAATACTTTTAAGCGAAATAAACATCACGCACAGATTGCAGAGATGAATATTTCTGCATAATTTGTGAATGTAGCGAATGTTGTGCACAATTATATGAACCAAGTATCGATTTTTCATTTGGAGTTGAAAAGTGGACATACTATCCTCAGAAAAGTGATCGTATCACCCTCAGGAAAGTGAATGTATTATCCTCAGAGCTATATAGTTCACATTCACTTTGTCAGGGGGCAGTAGTGCGCGACAGTATTTTGCGGTTATAGGTTTTGGATCGTCATGTTTTCTCTCAGGTTTCTCTCTGCTAAAAATCAGCGTTAAACATCAGCATAAAAAAGCATTTTTAGGGTCTTTTTTATCAATCTCAGTTAAGTTAACCAACGTTTACATTGGACTCATTTAGGCTGGTATTTATAATTGATTCTTATTTCAAGATCGTCTTAAGTAATGTCTTAGGATGGAATCCCATGAGATATATTTGTAAAAAACGCGTAATCAATCATTAATCAGTAAAACACGAAACCACAACAGCAGATTGCTTCTGATTAGTTACGCGGTTATGCGATATGCGATAAATACACCTTATGCGATAAATACACCTTATGACTCTATCCTAAAGACGCTAATGCAACTCTCTGGCCGATATTCATATATTCGGATTTTTTATTTAAGTCTTAATAGTCTATGGTGGAAGGATTACATGGTGTGCTCAAGCCCATGGTACATACAAAAATGTAAGGCCGTAACACGTAAGCAGTAAGCGAATTGTCCAATCATGTTAGACACTATAAGGCCAGTAGCGAATCCAATTTTACGATTTTCTTACTGTTTACATGTTACGACCTTACGTTTTTGTATGTGTCATGGGCTACAATTTGGCCAAACCACGCCTACTTTTGCTCCGCGTCGTCTCTCAATCTACTAACGTGTGAAACGCGAGAAACATGGGGCAGTATTTATAGTTTTTATTTATAGTCAGAGAGTATTTATAGTTTTAAAAGCATCTTAAATATAATGTCTTAAGATGTTAATACAGTTCTCGGATAGATTTACGATAGATTCTTTTCTTGCACGAAGTAAGATTCAGTATCAACTTTATGACGCAAAACAGGTCGATATTCATAGTCGATTCTTACATTTAAGACTGTCTTAAGTCAATCTTAAGATATCGTAAGGATCTGAGTACAAGAATTGTCGTAACACTTACTTTAGAGACTTAAGTTATAGACAAGTAACGCACAAGCTTTGGAACCAATGAACACATTAGAAGCTGCAAGCTTATTGGCTACCGCATCACATTTTGCCGTGCGGCAAGCGTTTCCGCGTGCAGAAGCTATTATGCCGAAGTTATAACATGATGTTATGAAACTAGCCAATCATAGCTATTCTTCTGAAGAATGGAATGACTGTGGTTGGCGAGTTTCATAACATCGATGTTATAACTTCGGCGTAAAGCGTGCCGTGTAAAACATAGTAATTGGTCGTATCGTAGACGTCGCAAGTCATAAGATTATTACTTTAGCTAATCCGATGCTTTAATTTTAAAGTCGCATGATGCTTATGACGTTTCCGACACTACTATACGATCAATGTAGAATAGCCCTTAAGAATTGACTATAAATACCGGCCTTCGATAGGTTAGCATGCGCAACTGCGTTCGCGCAAGTACGTGGTGATTGGTAGATTCATGTTGTAGAGAGGATACTCTATAATTTTGGCATTCCACTTTTAAGGTGTTTTTTCCTCTAGACGCTCATTTTCGCATCAAAATAAGTCACATGATAGAAATTGACGAATACACCGACGAGATATTATTAAAGACCGACATCCTTACGGGAGTTGGCGTCCTTGTGAATATTGAAGTAATTAAGAATTAAAAAATAAAAAAACTGAAAATATTGTACTAATTTTATGATTTATTAGTTTAATGAACATATTTATGCATTTAGAACTCGTTTCGCATTTAGAACATATTTATGCATTTAATACTCGATTTTTCTTTAAAATTGTGATTTCAGTGCTATCATCAAAGTTTGATTATCAACAGAGATGATAACTGCAGAGAAAAAATTATAATTTTTCTGCAATATAGAATATTATAGTTTTACAAGTATATATATTTATTTATGGAACATTTATGTAATAAAAAATCATGAATTTAATAATGTATGAACCAAATATTTATGTTAATAATAGCAAATTTATATTAATTGTCGATAATATCAGCATTCTTCAATTACCCCTTAGGGCCCTTTTTATATCGCCGAAAATTTGCCCAGGATTGACAGTCTTTAACAGTATCTCGTTAATGGTGAATATCAAGCATTAATTTTGATCGCGTGATTTATTTTGACGCTGAAAATGTGCGTCGAGCGTCAGCATGAAAAGGCACCTTTAAATTTCGCCTTATAGGGCCAAATTTATTAGAGAAACTGTATTGTTGTATGTATGTACACAATCATAGCCACCATAGTACTAACAGTGTCAATGAGCTGAGCAACAGTGGTCAGTGAGTTGTTGGGTGAGATGTCGGTGTATCCGCGACACTTTGAAATGTCAAATTCGGCGAAAATTTACGGTAAGTCCGACTGTCGTCGCCATGTGAAAGTTGTACCCACAGTAGCGTGCGTAATCTTCACAGTTGTATTTGTCGCTATCTGGAGTAATCTGAGGGACTGAGCACAAGAATTGTCGTAGCACTTACTTCGACTTAAGTTGTAGACGTAACTAACGCACAAGCTTTCACGTATGACGTACAACTTATTACCGTGTCTCCAAGAGACGGCAAATAGTCGTATGTCATACATCAAGCTTGTGCGTTACTTACGTCACAACTTAAGTCTCTAAGTGTTACGACAATTCTTGTGCTCAGACTCTAACTCGTCCAATCGGATACCGATTGCCGCATTTCTGTTACACACTTTTTTCTCACTCCAAAAGTCTAAAAAGAAAAAGTCCCGCGTTGTCCTTTCTCTTTCCTTCTACTATTTTGCCGATATCGTAAAGGTATCGTGATTAATTGCTATGGCGAGCCATAAAACTATCACGTTATGCTTCCTGTATGTTTATGAGATGAGGTTTATGAGATAGGGTCTCTCTTCCTCCCCCCCTCTCTCTCTCTCTCTGCGTGGATTCTTGATTGCTGTGATGATCGAATGATGATCAAATAAAACAATGCGAGATATATTCTTGACAGACTAATAGATGTTTATTTTGCATATGTGCGAATCTGATAAATTGTAAATAGCGAGATAATCGGATACTAGAGCTATCATATGTCTGATGTACTTGTACTGTTTGTGGAGAGATACATGAGCATACAGTGAAAGCTCTCTCCCTCATTTCTCTCAAATTTGGCAGGAAGAAATAATTAAATTCATGATGGAAGTAGAATATAAGTATAATATAATATATGATATGATATGATGTGATATGATATAATATAAGCAGGGTTGGTATGTATTAAATATAACATATACATAGTTTTTATACCATATAATACTTATATTTACTTATATTACTTATATGTAAGAAACTACTCGCAGCTCTAAATTGCCCAACCCTGAATATAATATAAGTATAATATAAGTATATTACTTCCATCATGATTAAATTATGAAAATTATTGGCTGAGTATTCAGCAGAGAAAGCAGTTTTGCAACTGTTGGAAAAGTCTTTAATATGATTGCTAATATATTTAGATTCAGTAAGGAATTAAACAAAAAGATCGCTGATAATTCTTTACTTAAATTCTCTAAGGTACTTCTACAGTAAAGTGCCGAAAATTTGATATGTCTCACCAGGGTCCACCCAAAATCACAAATATATCTACATAATTTGGATAAAATATTAAAACTACATGTATATTTTACTGAAATAGTATGAAATTAATGATGTTTAGTATTCAAAAGTAATGAAATAAAAACAAGTTGATTTCTTGTACATTTTTTCTTGTGGGAATTTAATATTTTGTTATTTCAACATTAAATATCTTTCCAGAATGTTCGATAACTTATTACTTTTTTTGTGACCATTACAATTGTAATTTTTTAAACTATTATAATCTCATTTTTAATATCTATGATAATGTTTATGTGCAATTAGTCAAAGAAACACTTCCGATCCTTATCTGTCACTAGGTTATTTATTAAAAGTTACATTTTCAACATTTTTTTTTATTTTATTGATAATCTAATCTAGAATTTTGTACACATTAAGTAACTTCAACTTTATTATACTAAAAAATTAGACATTTCTATAGTAACTCAATTTACTGTAGAACCATGGAAGAAGACTTCTTCTTCTATCATGTGTAGAACTATTCTAAGGCTTAAGTACGGTCTTAAGAAGTCACAAACTAATCAGGAAGCTGCATTAGCGTCTTAAGATTTACTTAAGACGATCTTGAAATAAGACTCGACTATGAATACTGGTCTAATATAGTTTAATTTACTATTGCCATTTTTACCAATGTATAATAAATTACTTTTACACGGCTTAATTTACGCCGAAGTTATAATAGCGATATTAGGAAACTGGCTAATCACAGTCATTCCATTCTTTAGAAAAATAACTATAATTGGCCAGCATAACGTTGATGTCATAACTTCGACGTAAATTGTAAACATAGTAATAGAATAATTTTGGTTCAACTTACTTTTCGTTTTTCTCTAGTTCTAAAAATTAGAAAAAGATCAAGAGTACGTTGATTCGCGATTAAAGTTGATCTACATTGACGGAAATAGGCATAACGCAACGATTTTCTAATGAGAAAACTTACTTCTTACTGATTTTTTTATTATTAGTACTATACTCTTTTATTAGATTGGATATGATATTAGAAAATTTCAAATAGGAGGCACACAGTTCTTCTGATTATTATAATTTGATTACATAATTTTCAAAATAAACTATATGTGTGTGTGTGTGTGTGTGTGTGTGTGTGTGTGTGTGTGTGTGTGTGTGTTTAAATACACACACACATTCTTTTGAAGGATAAAAGATTAAAAAAGATGAATTTAAAGAATTAGCAGAAGTATTAAAAACTTTCTTCCCAGTAATGAAACATATCTTGTATATATTTCCTTAGTCCAATCATACATATGAGCATTATGAAAGCTTCTTTTAGTCTATTGCGAAAAAATGAAAATCTAATTGTAGTTAACTAACATGTCTGTACACAAAAACGATAGAAAAGAACTTGAGAGAAGAAAAAAGTTGAAAAAAGAAATATTAAGAAATTCCTCAAAGATTAGCTTTAATATTAAATATTGTATATTTTAATAAGTTTCGTGAAAAGGTAAATTTTTGCTTCCTCCGCCTTTCAATTGAAATTCTACCCCATGGCGAGATATACATGCCATATTTGGGATGTGTATATGAAATATCACATTTCAGAATATTACGTATATACGAGTTTTATTCTTGCTTTTGACGCTTTAATCTAGACCGCGTTTATATTAAAAATTAATATTTTATTAATAACAATTGTAAATTTAAAGAGATTCAATTATATAATTGTTATATAATTTTTTATTCAGTTGATTTAAAATAAATCTCTAATTTTCTGTGACTTTAACATTTACATATTGGCGTTTGTATTTATTTTATATAAAGTACCAAGTAAAACAATGTGAAACTTTATTTTGTTCATATAATTGTCCATGTTGTTCAATAGTATAATAAATTTTTATATATCTTTTGCCACACGTTATGATATATTAGAAATATTTTTATGACAAAAAAAATCGATATTTTTGAAATTGATAATTTTTTACTCTATGATGGACAAATTGATTGATAGTATGCTGCACAGAGATGTAACACTGTAATCAAAACTTACAAGGGTCCTAACTTACAATTAACAATAAATGTCAGTAATATACTTTTAAGTTATAATTGTTTTTTTTATTGATTTAAAAGTTTTTCTACAGATATAAACAAAAGGAAAAGAAATTTAATAAAATATATAATTTTTGAAAAAAGTTTGTATACAAATTTCTTTTATTTATTTTCTTTTACACATAAGTTTTAGTAGTGTTTCTGAATAACATATTAAAAAACATTGATATCTTTATTAAAAAATGAAATTACGAAATTTACATTGCACATTTTTTTGCTCCATACTTTTTTTAATACTGTATACTATTTATATTATATAACAAGCAATATTTTTTAGAGGAGTAGGAAGATGCTATGGCAGCTTCGGTTGTATCACGCAACGATGAGGAAGAGTTGAATGGGGAAACGGAGTCAGAGGCCAGTAGTATATATCAAGGCTCGGTAATCTCTACCGTACCTGATCGCCATGGATTTCTAGGCGGTTCACAATACAGTCCAGAAAGGTAATTTAATCTCTTTTTAGCATGATAAAATTACAATAAGTGTTTTAATAAAATAAAATAAAATTTGTAATATTATAACTTTATGAAATAGGAAACAATCTATACCACCTGATGTGATATTGCGGAGGGAGAGAAAATGGATACAGATGCTGAACAATTGGAGTCTTTTTATGACCACAAATTACCATAAAGTTCGCAAGAGATGCCGTAAGGGTATACCACCTTCTGTGAGACTACGCGCCTGGCTAAACTTATGTGGTGGTCAGCTTTTAATGAACGAGAATCCAAATTTATATGAAGAATTAATAAAACGGCCCGGTGATCCCAAATACATAGAGGACATCAAGAAGGATCTCCATCGTCAGTTTCCACATCATGAAATGTTTGTCGAGAATGCACCTGGACAGCAGGAACTGTTCCAAGTTCTGAAGGCATACTCCATTCTGAACAGCAAAGTGGGCTACTGCCAAGCTCAAGCGCCTATTGCTGCATTTTTGCTGATGCATATGCCGGCAGTGCAAGCATTTTGGTGCCTCGTTGCGATATGCGACAAATATCTCATCGGCTATTACAGTCAAGGCATGGAAACGTTGCTGCGCGATGGAGATATTCTCTTCGCTCTTTTGAAGAGAGTCTCGCCCATTGCGTATAAGCACTTAGTTAGTACATATAAATTTTTATGTAAATTTTCTATATATTAGGTTAAGTAAGAAGTCATCGCGTTTTTTTAAAAGACATCTATCAGTAAAAACCGCAATTATTTTCTTACCAACAATATAAATATATCTTGATAGAGTAAAGTTTCAGCTTTAAAAATCTCTTTTTTAAATTATACGATACGACAATTTTTAATGGAGTTATGAGCAATTAAAGTCAAAATAATTCTTTTATTTAATCCGCGATAACTCAGTAATCAAAAGTCGTAGGAATATTAAAAAAAAACGATTTTGTAGGGAAAGTATCAAGCTTTCACGATAGGTAATCGAAAATTTTCTCAAATTCGTTTTGGACACGTTACAAATCCACAAAGTGAGAAGAAAATTTTTCGTCTTTTTCAGCTCGTAGTTTTTGGTATGTAAAAATTATCAAACTCATATAAACTTAAAAAATGTGATAAGCTTTTAAAAGTAGAGATTTCAAGCTTTAAAACCCTTTTTTTAAATTTGAATTTCATTCATTATTGACGAAGATATTGTATATACAACTTTGAGCTAAAAAATACGCGATGACTTTTTACTTAACCTAATAACTATATTGATTGTTTTAGAAAAACAAATTAAAAATTAATTTTAATGATATGTGGATTTATATTTTTTTTTAAAACAACTCTGCAGTTGTAAATAAAATTTTTATGTTTTTCGAACAATGTAAATAAGAATTTTAGAATAAAATTTCTTTTTTTTTTTAAATTATTATAAACTGATCATAAATTAGTTAGGGATTTAATTGTGATTGTATTTACTATTTTAGAAAAAACAAAAAATGGAACCAATCTTATACATGACGGAATGGTTTTTATGCGTGTACACGCGAACATTGCCATGGGAAAGTATTTTGCGTATATGGGATATGTTCCTTTGCGAGGGCGTAAAAGTGATCTTCAAAGTAGGTCTGATACTACTGAAAGGTAGTCTAGGTCGCACTTCTCTTATCAAATGTTGTCCAACGACATACGAAACCCTCCAAGTGCTGAGAAACCCACCCCAACATATCATGGAGGAAGAGGTCTTGGTTTATCAGGTGCACACTTTTTACGCAAATATGAATATTAAAAAATTACATTTATTATAAACAATAATTTTTAATAAATTATTATACAATTACGTTAAATTTATAATGATTATAGAAAATTGGTAAATTTATTTCTAATTCAATTTCTTTACATTTTTTTCAAAGATTTTTATTTTAACTCAAACATTTTTTCGGTATGGCAAATACTTTTGCAATACTTTTTCGATTGCTTATAACTTCTTTTTTTTATGAAGATACATAATTTACTATTATGTTTCTTAACGTCTAGCATCTTGATTGAAAAACATGTCTTTTACAATATATTTATTTTTATAAAAATTATTATACAAGCAATTAAATTGGGTTGAATTTATCAGTGTTGTTTTCATAATCATGCATTAAGGGTTAAAATTATGAGATTTTAACGTAACTTTTATGTTTTATAAATAAGATAAAATAATTATATATTATCTGTAACTTTCTTAATGTTGCAGATTCAGAGGTTGAATTTGAGCGAAGAGGATTTTGAATATGAGCATCAGAGGCAAATGTTGAAAAGAAAAGCGGCGGAGAAGGAAACTGCCAATCGAACTGACTGATGATTAAGTAGTTAGATGAAGATATGGGACGAAATATGACAACATTTTAACGTGTAGCATCCCAACGTGTGCCTTCCTTTCTGTTCTTCTGATACTGTATAGATTTCGTAATTTGTTAGAATTTTTTCGTATTGTAAAATCGATGGATATGATAAAAAATGGATAGGTACATATATTCTCAAAATAGAAAGTTCCATATACTTTGTGCACACATACGTATACATATCCATATTCTCTGAGCAGCTGGAGTGCATTATTTACATCTATTTCCTTCGTTATTAATCTTCATTATCAGTACGTAGTCTATTAAAAAAAAGAGCACAATACATTTGCAGGTTCATGTAGTACTACTTAATTATTTAGTATTTTCTCATTAATATATTTTTAATTGATTATCTTTATGATTAATATTATCATTTATGTACAAAAATTTGTATTTTTAAAATAAAAGTATAGTATATAATAATGTTATACTAAATAAATATTATTTTTCGTTAATGCCGATTTTATCTTATATTAATCCTTACTGATTGAATGAATTTAATTTTAGATTAGATCTTAATGCTTATAATAATATAATTTCTTATAAGTATAATTTTATTTAATATTAAATAATATATTCTTGAAATATAAAGATTATGCGTTTTGCGGGTTTCCTCCGTGTCCAGATCCATTTTTGAAACGCCAACGTTTCATGAACCTTGCAGTCTTCATCAGAGCGAGAAGCAGCTTGATACTGAGCTGTTCCTTCGGGCCGTTCCTTTTATATTACGCTACTTGTTGGAGTGGTGAGGAAAAAGAAGAGAATTGGGGAGGGGGGGGGGGAAGAGGTGGAGAAAATTGGTCGGTCTTCAATAACCGGGAGAATAGTTCTCCATATTTTATTCATGTTGTAGCCATTATCTTTATTTAGATTGTTTTTGTATCTATGGCTTCTGTATACTTTCTTCGAAGTATGATATAATTGGTTATTGTGGTCGTTTTGTCAAATAGTATTTGATTGTCCTGTTTTGATGTTGTGTTCTGATAATGCTGACTGCATGACATGTTTTAGTTTGACATCACGTTGATGTTTTTTTATTCGTAGGTTGCTATTATTCTTCAATGTATACTTGCCCGCAGGAACAAGGTATTTTGTATACTCCTGCGGAGCAGAGTGGAAGTCTGATCTTTAAGATTTCTTAAGATTTGTCCTATTTTTTGGGTGGTTTAAAGATAGTTCGGATATTGTGTTTGTTTAATATCGATCTGTTGTTCCTTTGACATATGGGATAGGATCTTTTCGTCTGGTTGTGTGTCAGAGACTTTTGTCTTGTTTGCACGTTTATTGATTGTTTTGATTATGTCTTTTTTGTCGTATCCGTTTTTCTGTAAGGCTAATTTTAAGTGATTGAGTTCTGTCTGTAGATGTTCTTTGTCAAAGATGGTGAAAGCTTTGCGTACAAATGAGTTGATTGCAGACTGTTTTTGTGCTGGGTGGTGGTACGATTCGGCATGTAGATATCTATCTGTATGTGTTGATTTTCTGTACACTTAATGGCCTAAGCTACCGTCAGCTATCTCAAAGACAAGAACATCTAGGAAGAGGAGTTTTCCGTTTTCTTTTATGTCTATAGTGAAGTGGATATTTAGATGTTGATTGTTGAGGAAAATAAAGAATTTAGAGAGTTCGATTCTGCTGAGTCTCCATATCACGAATGTGTCACCTACATAACGGAACCAAACTCCTGGTTTTTTTTGGGTGTTTTTCTAAAGACCTCTTTCTCAAAATGCTCTATAAAGATGTTGGCGATTACAGGAGAAATAGGAGATTGCCCATTGCCGCTTCTAAAGTTTATTCATAAAATTGGTTTTTATAGAAGAAGTAAATGATAAGCAGTGTTCTATTAGCGAGATGAGATCGGAGGGGACTTCATGAAGCCTTTATTATGTTTAATGTATTTTTTATTGGGACTTGTGTGAAAAGGGATTCTACATCGAAACTTACAAGCAGGTCTGTGGAATGTAGTCGGATTTTTTGGATCTTTTTTATGAAGTCCGTTGATTTGGTGTGATTCGGATTTTCCAGTGAGGGGTTGTGAAGTGTTTGTGAAGCGGGATAAGTTGTACATCGGAGAGTGATGGCGCTGCAATTGGTCTGAGGGGCATGTTTGGTTTGTGTACTATAAGACAACGGTCTGTGATACACAACCAGACGAAAAGGTTCTATCCATTCTCCCGTATGTCAAAGGAACAATAGATCGGACTGGCAGGATATTAAACAAACACAATATATCCGAACTATCTTCAAACCAACCCAAAAGATAGGACAAATCTTAAGAAATCCTAAAGACCTCCACTCAGCTCCATAGGAGTATACAGAATACCTTGATCCTGCAGGCAAGTATACATTAGAGAAACTGGGAGAATGGGATCAACCTACGGATAAAAGAACACCAACGTGATGTCAGGCTAAAACACATCACGCAGTCAGCATTATCAGAATAGAACATCGAAACAGGACATCAAATACTGTTTGACAAAACGACCACAATAGCCAACATTATATCATACTTTCCAAGAAAATATAGATAAGCCATAGAGATACAAAAACACCTTAACAATCTAAATAGACATAATGGCTACAACAAATACAATAAAATATGGAAAACCATTCTCCCGGTTATTGAAGACCGACCAATTTTTCCCACCCTCTCCCCCCCTCCCCATACCCATAATTCTCATTTTTCCCCTCATCACTTCAACAAGTAGCGTAATATAAAAGGAACGGTCCACAGAGGAACAGCTCAGTATCAGGCTGCTCCTCGCCCTGATGAAGTAGACTGCAAGATTCACGAAACGTTGGCATTCCAAGAATGGATCTGGACACGGAGAAAACCCGTGAAATGCATCTTTATATAGAAAGCACCCATGGAAGCTTCAAGGATATATTCTTGAAATATTAATGAATAGTTATATGTCCACTCCTGATAATATTGTATTATATGATTATTAAAAGTAACATTATTTAATGTTAATAATATTGTAATATTATAAACATTAAAAATTATGACAATATTTACTTTAATTTATAAAACTGTTACATCGGTTCAGTTTAAATATACAATATATTGGGTTGTTCGGAAAGTAATTTCGTTTTTTCCCAACAGAGGACTTAATTGTATTTTTCACAGCCAACTTCACACTTAAGCTGCATAATCATTATATATTTTGACAGCTGATATAGCAAGGCTTGCTTGTGAAAAAAGTTCGATTGATTCTACGCAGTAGTTTTTGGTTGGTGCCCTATCAAATATGAAAGTGAAAAGCAGCATTTTCGACATATTTTACTTTTTTACTATCGAAAAGATAAAAATGCTGTTTAAGCAAGAAAAAAATTATCCGATGTGTATAGAGAAGATGTATTGACAGAACGCCAGTGCCAAAACTGGTTTGCAAAATTTCGATCCGGCAATTTTGATGTTGAAGATGCACCACGTTCTGGAAGGCCAATTGAAGCTGATGAAGACACAATAAAGGCATTAATTGATGCAAACCGGCGAATAACAACTCGTGAGATCGCTGAGAGATTAAATTTATCGAATTCGACCGTTCATGATCATTTGAAACGCGTCTGATTGAAAATCGTCTTTCATTTTCATAAGAAAAAACGAAATTACTTTCCGAACAACCTAATATTTTTAAAGACGAAAATAGTTTGGTATGCGGTTGTAGAACTGGACCTAAAATCACACCGAAACGTTATTTAAGCACAAGACGCATCATAAACTGATAAAACATTTTTGTTACTAGATTATAGAATTCAAACTGCATTAAAATAAAAATAATTAATATTAATAAATATTTTAATAATATTTCAGATTAAAAGAAATATACCAATGATATTTATACAAGTGGACATATAACATCCATAAAATGTTCTAACATTAAAAAATATACAATATTCTCAAAATATTATAATAACTTATTTTAATTTTTTTATATAATATTTATATAACATTCTATTTATAATATATAACATTTTTTAATATTTATATAACATCTCTAATATTTTGCGCCTATAGGGTTACAATAACATAAGAGTCTTTACAATACACTTTCGTATAGTTTCGTATTAGTATTTCGTATTAGTTTATACAGTAGTGATGGGCGTTATTTCATTATCTATTATTAAATAACCGTTATTGAGAAATAACTTTAGTAACCGTTATCAAGTTTGAAAAATAACGTTATCGGATTTAAACGGTTATTTTCAAATTTTAAATTTTATAAATAAAAAGTAAATAGTATAAAAGGTAAATAGTAATGTTTAAGATCTTACTATTTATTTTTTTTGCCAGTAGAAGTACTATCGGCGCTATCGTTGTATTAGGCCAATAATAAGGCCATTCTACATTAGTCGTATCATAGACATCGTAAGTCACAAGCTTATTGCATTAGCCAATCCGATGCTTCAATTTTAAAATCGCATGATGCTTACGACGCTTCCGACGCTATGATACGACCATTAGAATAGCTTTTACATGCGTTCGTTTTTTGTCGTACAACAAATTTTTCAAACTCAAAGACTCCTCTTCTTGGGGTGCTATTTCATTTGTATGTTTTTGTCGTGACAAACGTGTACAGAACAGAGAGATCTTCGGATCTCTCTATCCCATAGCCAATCAACAGGCTTGAAAAATTTGTCGTGCGACAAAAATGCATAAATGAAATATTACCCTTAAAGAGAAACGTATACGAAAATCTAGAGAAATACTAAGTATATGTAACAGGTACTATATATTTTCCTAGACTTTTGTATATGTTTCTTTTCAAGAATAGGGGCCCTGAGGGTCCTATTCTTGAATAAAACCCGCTTGAAAAATTCCGTATACGATATGCAAATATGGAATAACATTCCGTATACAATCAATTACAGTTGAGAAACTCATTTTCGTTTGCAAAAATTATTCGTATATGTTCAAGAATAGGACCCCTGTTTGGTTATAGGACAAAGAGATTCGAGATCTTCTCTGTCTTGTAACCAAGTAACACGCCTAAAAAATTTGTCATATGACAAAAAACGGAAGTATGTAATATTGATTTAGATATTAAAATTCTTAGATATGATTGGTTTATATACGTATATTTAGATCCAGTGAGGAACTAAGGGCAAGACCAATCATATTAAAGAATTTTACAACATCTGCAAAGCTGCTTTTTCTGCTGAACGCAGCTATTACTAAGTTGACATCATTAGCTGCGTTCAGCGGATTCAATAATTGAATGACCGCTCGCTGCTATTGATATATTCTTCCAAATCTAAAATGCTGATGTAAAAGAATATACCAATAATAGCGAGCGCCCACTCAACTAGTATCGAGTCCGCTGCAGCCAATCTTTGTGCATAAAACTTAATACTTTATATTTATTTGTTTGCACAAATATTTTAAATAATGAAATATTTCAAAATAGATTTCTTAAACGGCTTAAATAATGAGAAATAATTAAAAAATGTGACTACTGACTAGGATATCGGGTATTATAAAAAATAACCGATAATTGTTTAAATATCATGGTTGTTTTTAAATAATATATGGTAATCAATGGTTATTTTGAAGTAAGGTAATTATTATAACCGTTAATAAAAAATAACCATTTAGCCCATTCCTATTATACAATAAATATTTCTTTTGCAATTCTTTTCTTTTATCGATTGTAGTTCAATAAATATTTTACACAAAATATACATTCGATAATATTTTGCATCTCTAATGTAAGAATGCAGTACTTTAGACTTTATGTACTCTCAGCTAGTTGTGTTGAAATTCTGCCAGCGGTTGTGTTCGTTTATGGCATTCATTACAAATGTTGTTAAACGCAAAAAGTCATCGTTGTCGACTAATCGTGCGTTGAAAAGTTCCAAGTGTGGCAGTTTCGGTAAAAACAATACACCCATCATAAATAGAAGTGCCATGCTAATGAATGTGCCGATCGCTACGAAGAGTGGATTCATAAGCTGCTTCTGAGTACTCTCTGTGGTTTCCATAGCTGCGTACATTGGAATGATCTGTAAAATGATGTGAATCAATACATTGAACAAGAAAAGGCTAGATATGACAAGCAAAAAAGCTAATCTAATTTTTTAAGAATGTAAACGTTTCGAGTATCACTCTTCATCAGCGCTCTTGAATGCTGTTCAGAATCATTACATAAAAATGAATTTCTAGCGCAAAAATGAAAATAAGAAAATGAAAATAAAACAATCTTCAATGACCACATAACATTTAATCTCGACAAATGTTATTTAGGATATGATTCTAAACAACATTCAAGAGATTTTAGCCGTCAATCAGGCACCTTGCTAATGCCGGCGGTACTGTAACATTCGAGCCGTATAATTCGAGAAGTACTTAATGAAAAAATATTTTATTATAGGTTTTGGAAAGCTCTCGAGATGATCAACAAAAATGTGCAGAAGTAACGGATTCCATTTAAGAAATTGAAAGTAACCTTTATGTGACCTTCAAACAACTATTCAAGGTCAAACTGATGATACCATCTTATATTCCCCTCAAAGCCATACAACTTTTGTCTGAAATATTTTGTTCTAAGATCAAAAATAAAAATGTTATTTAGGGTGGGACATTAAAATGGGACATCCTGTATTTTATCCATAATATCCCTAAAGTATTATAACAATATTTATAAATATTAATTATTTTTATTTCAGTGCAATTAGAATTCACAATTCAGTAACGAAAAGTTCTTATCAATCTGTTGTATCTTGCGCTAAAAAAACATTTCGGCGTAATTTTAAGTACATATCCAGTTCTACAATTGTCAAATCATTTTCAGTCTTTAAACGTATACTTATATTGAACAGATGTAGTAGTTTTACAAATTAAAATAAATGTCATTATAATATTTTTTAATATTTATACAATATTACAGTAACATTAAATAATGTTACTTTTACTATAATAATTATATTAAATAATCATATTTAATAATCATAATATTATTAGAAGGAGACACATGTAACCATCCATTAATATTTCGAGAATATATTTAATATTATATAATTTTACTAAAATGTTCTTAAAATATTACTTATAATACTAAATAATATAATGTGCCTACAGGGTACATTTATGTTACTTTTTAATTTAAACAACGAATTTATATGAAATAAATAAATAAATTTCTTATATTATCCGTTGAAATAACATGCACAACTAAAAAATCGTTTACTTTTAGCATCCTTTATCAAAATTATTTTAGAAAATCAGGTAAAGCTATATATTTTACTAA